AATTTAATCTTTAAAACTAATAATTTTTTTAAAATTAATTAGGACCAATTAGGACCAATTAGGACTTTACCAACCCTGTCTATATGAGACCGGAAAATAAGTGATCATATGTGAAAAATTAGTATGAAGATAATCATAAGTGACATGATACTTAATGCAACAGGGGATTATTAAGCTAATATCCTCTAAAAAATCTAACCAAATAAAATTCATTTAATATACTATAATATGAATTAAAAATCTCATTTTTTTGTTGAAAGGTTCCCGTAACTCATGTTTAATAGCACAGCTCCCATATAATTGCTAAAGCCCTAGAGTATTTTCAAAAATAGTTTTCATATTTACCATTAGCAGTTTATCAGCTTGGGGATAATGATCTAGCTTTTATCATATAATTCATCTACTGATTTGGAATAAATAATTGCTCAGAATTTAAATTAATGGAAGAATTTATCCAATTCTGTATTAGTTATGTATCATTTTTACAATATAAATAATTTCGTGAAAAATATTTATTTACCAACAAAAATTGAAAGTTTTTTCAATTAACTAGATCTGAAAACACATGCAAATATGTCATGATCAATGAAACAGTTTAAGCATCATGTAAGATCTCAAGAAAATTTGGTTAGTGGATTTAAAAAAAAATGCGAAATCACTCCACTTCAGGAAGTGCAACTTCAGCCATCTGTGTCAATCCTTTCAATCAAATTATTTGCTAATAATTAAAACTATAATTTGTATTTCTATATAAATTCAATGCTTTTTCGTTAGAATTCTTATCAGTTATTATATAATATTATGGATCGAAGAATTATATTTCAGATAAACCGGTTTTTAATCTGGTTTTAAGGTGCAGATATTTTATTGTTTTACTACTAAATTTAATTATAGTCAGTTTAATTCGAAAACAATTCTATTCTATAATTAAATTTATTATATAGTTGTGTTACAATACTATAACAACACCACATTTCCGCATGATAGGATAGGTTAATGCTTTAAAATTGGGTTATATCTAACACGTATGGGATAGTTTTCTTCTATGTTCGGAACGTATTGTTTTTATACCAAGTAATTATTTCCATACAAGTAAGGAAAAATACATGTAATATTTTATTTTATGAAGTATTTCCTTTCTAGGTGGACGAAGAATTTTATTAGACAAATTTTATTTTCTTTTTGTTAAGGATCATATATATTAAAATGAGCAACAAATAGAATATATGGGTGGTGATCATATGTCTCGTACCTCAATTTTAATAGCATATCACCCATATTATAGATGTATTTAACTTCGAAAAATCCATACATTATAATCCCATACATATTTCTATAAAACCTCCTAAACTTATGCCTGCTTCAGATGAGGAGTAAATAACTACGAAATTCGCTTATGTAGCGTTGATTCAATAAATTTTCTTAATTAATTTCGTTAGTATAACATAAAAAAGGTTACACCATAACAAATCACATGAAATCAATATCATATGATGTATTTCTATTTTTTTATTAGCATAGACTAGCAAACGAAAAATGAGGTTTAGACAAATAAAGATTGAAGCGTTTCCGCAAGGATCAGGTTTTTTTTTTGTTTTTGATTCTGGTCGACGATTTCATTTTTCCAGTGATAGGTAGAATTTTTTTCCATTTTTTTATTTTTTTTAATTTTAGTTTTGGGGCGTTATCGAATTTTTTTGAAACTTTTACTCTTTAGGTATATCTTTCGAGTTGGATCACTTCCGCAAGTATTAGATAAGACATTTTTTCTTTTTTTTAATGATTACATTTTTTTTGGTCAAATCGTTTCTGTTTCAATCAAATTTATTTTTTCTGATTTTGATGGAAACATTTCTTAATATAGTTTGTTTTTTATTATTTAGGTCCTTCTTTCAAGTTTATGTCATTATTATAATTCATGTATGATTATTCTGGTGTATTTTTTTCAATCTAACACTTTAATAATATCGAAGGTGATGGACGTCTCAAGCCTCCATAGTTACCATGTATCGGTATCTGTCTAATAAGATCAATTTATATTAGACTTAAATTATGAGTGATGATAATCCTTTGCCTTGTTTTTTTTCCTATTTTTTTTTTTAAAAAATAATTTCATTTATTTTGTGGAGTCATACCTTTTAATTTTTTCGTTTAACTTCGCCTATTCTTTATAATAATTTCAAGAAACTAATATCTAAGCCATCATATATACTGTATATAAATCCAAAAATGATACAGATATACCCGAAAATCATTTTATAAAAAAAAACGAAGGAAATATAATAATTTAACAAGAAATTAGATAATATGTTTTAATAAAAAAAAACGGCACTAAGCCCATAATGATTAAAAAATTTATGGAGGCTAAGGTTTTATTTTATAAAAATCAAGGCTTATTTCCGAAAGCCATGTCAGTTTCAGATTTAAGTCAGACGCGAAAATAAAATTAAAATTAAATGTCAGAGAAAAAATTTCTATATAAACGAGCTGTTATTTCCTTTCATGCATTTTTTTATCTTATCAACAACTAAATTAAAATAATAATGAAATATATTAATTACACTTGCTTTAGTTATTGCGATCTTCGTTACCTTTGCTTATTCTTCTCCTTTTCCACAAGGAACCGGTGAACCCAAAGATATTAAGATTGAAGGTCCGGGTCCTGGACCTTTAACTGTTGGTTCTAAAGCTACCGTTACTTGGAAGGCTACAGGATTTGATGCTGATGGTTAGTAAAAAAAAAAAGATATTCAAGAAAATTCTGCTTTTATTAAAAACATTATAAATGATAATATATTCTTTTATTTAAAATATTTTTTTAGAACCAATATCTTTCGGTATTTTCGCAGAACATAATACTGAACCACCCTTTTTCGCAGAAGTATGTTGTGCAATTACATTTCGTGAAGTTAATATTCATTTTTTTTTAAACTAATGAATTTTAAAAAAATTAGACCACCCTTTTTGCGGGAAGTATTACATTCCCAATCGATGACAAATTTATTCCTGGAACTAAATATGGAAGTGTAATCGTTCTTAAGTCTGACAAGACGCTTGCTTATCGTGGTCAAATTTTGAAAGTAACTGCTGCTAATTCAAATAATGCAATGGCTGTAAAAGCAAATGCAAATATATCAGAAACGCCAAGAAAGTGAATTCTTCATTAAATATTTTATTTTCGTTCTTATAAAGGATATTATTTAATCAACAGTATCAAATGTTTTTCTCTCTGATTTATATATATTATCTAAAGATAAAAAATTTTTCCTTATAGAAAAACTCCCTCACTTATAGAATACAATATATTATAATAATTAAATATTTGATGTGAATTTTTTTTAAATTATTTAATAATTATAATTTTATTATATAATTAAAAAAAAATTGTCAACCTTTCTAAAACATTTTGTTTGATTTGTATTATCATGGTTGAGTTTCGATGACTTTTACTTTTAAATAAATAATAACAATTGAGTAAATAAGTAGGTCAAAATTCTTATAGTAACCCAAATTTGGATATTATATAAAAAAAAAGAATTTTTCTAACCATAACAATCAACAGTATCACGTGATATATATATCACGTGACATAATAATTTATTTCATATTAGATAAAAAATATTATTGAACGTATTAACAATATTATCAAACATTAATTATCATCATAAGTTAATACATTTTGGTTTGCTCCTAGAGTAATGTCCAGCTTTCCCACAAACTTTACACATATATTTCCGCCTGCTTATATTTTCATTCATATTTGTATTAGATGTATTAAATCATTAAATATTTTATAAGCATTATATTCTTCTATGTTATTAATATTAAGTGTTTGTAACAGAATTCTTGAAGAGAATGTTTGAGATTTATTATGCTGTATTTTATGTATATATAAATTAAGATCAAATGAATTCAATGCACCAATTTTTGAACTAAAATGATGCGAGCTAGTTTCAAATGATGATTTGATACACTTTTGCAGAAGACGCTTACATCACTTTTAAACTAAAAAATAAGAGACAAGCAATTCCAACTCTTTGTTTTTATTATTAATATCATCAAATTATTTCTTTTATGCTCAATAAACCTATTTATCATATCAATAAATTTAACTTCACAATTCAAATCAATTGTTAAATTGAAAGTCTTTTTCAACTTTCTGAACTGGATGCATATTTGACTTTTCTTTATATACGTTATTTAATTTCAGCATTAAATATGTCTAATGCTCTAATTTGATTAAAAATATGTAAATCAGTTATTATTAGTTCATTATTACTTTCTTATTAAAATTGTGTTATAATTTTTATAGTTTTATTTTATAAATTTGTTTGAATACATTAATCTTGAATATCTTTCAAATACATTTAGATTAAGATAAGTACCAATGGAGTAGAATATTTTATTTAGTTAGTTATAATTATAAAAAAAAACTAACATTAATTTACCTTTGTAGAATCTAAAATCCTGAATTTTGGATTGGATAAGCCAAATTAAAGAAATTTATTAGTATTGATATATATTTTTTTTAAAAAATAAAACTATTATTACTTATTTTTTGTAAAACTAGAATCTGTATTTGGATCAAAGGTAAGTTCTAATAGAATAATTTTCTAATAATTAACTTATATTATTTATTGATATACTGATCTAAACTCTTAAAATTGAATTCTTGGATCAAAAATAACATTATAATAATTTTTCTAATATATATTTTTTTATTTAAAATTTTTTTCATAATACTAATACTTAGCATTTTATATCGTCTTTTTTTAGTTAATGATTTTTATAAATATTTTATTATATATCGAGTATAATAGAAATAATTTAATTTTGCATTTTAAAATTCTGTTAAAATTTAATTCTTTATTTATTTGAATAAAAAATAACTAAAAATATTATTTATATACTTTTTTTTATATTAATATATAATTGACGTATTTAATAAAAAATAAAATAAAATAAATACTAATTAGAATAAATACTATTAACTTTAGCTGCATTTTTTTTTATAAAAACATTAAAATTCTTGTTTATTTTAATTAATAAATTTTCAAGATTATACTCAAGTTTTATACAAAACCTTTGCCATAAAATTTGATTTATACTCAGGTCTTAAACTAGGCAAAAATTTTAGATTTAATGTAATACTCAAATACTTTAAAGTGGGGATACGAATAAATGGGAATATAATATGTAATACTAGATTGTATAATAAAAAAAATAATATTAAAAAAGAGGAGTTTATAATTAAATGGTAGGAAATAAAGTATATGAGATTAATAATAATTTTTGTTATGTTAGTTAAATTACTATACATTATTATATGAATATTTTTAAATTAATAATAAATATTAGATTTGTTATATATAAACAAATAATTGATTATTTATTATTAATAAAAAAAATGAATACAAATTTAACAAATTTAATTTTCTTTATTAATAATCCAGATTTTTTGTGGTTTAATATAAGTAGAAAGAATATTATGAGATATTTCATAAAGTTATCAGTTTTATTCTTTAAATATTTTAATTATTGCGGCTTTAGAATTAATAACTTTATCTCTATCTTTCATAGTTTTGTAAAAAAAAAACATATGCATATGATTCATTTTTTAACCAGAGTACAAAAAAAATAATTTGATATTCCATATATGGGTAGTATTCTATTAAAATTGAGGTACAGATCATATGATTTACTATGTCTCGTAACCCACTTTTAATAGATCAGCTCCCATATAATATATCTTTTATATACTATACTAAAACATGCATATAAAAATGTAATATTTGCAGTTCAATAAAATTTTCAATAAAAGTATTTTCAGGATTTATAATTGAAGAAATAAATAAATAATTAAGCCATGATTTGCAGCAGTTTAAAATTTAATAAGATTAGGATTTTAATCTTTTAAGGTAATATATAAAGTATTAAAATTATTTCAAAGTTTCATATTATTTTAGCTTGAGTAGACTTTAATATAATTTCTAAATTAAAATTATATAATACTTTAAGTTTATCTTAATCTATAAATAAGTTTGCAAAAGAAATGTAATGAATATTACATATCATTAAAAGTTTATAATTTGCTAACTACAAATATTAAAGTTAGAAATATGATTTTGCATTTATTTTAAATCTCAAAACCTAGAAAATATTTAATAAAAATTTAAAGCATATTTATTAAGTCTAATTTAACATTAACGAACTACATATCACATTTTTTTTACTTAATAAAATATAAGTTTATATAACAAAATAGAACTATAAATCCTCAAAATTTTTATTTTTGTATCAAATGATATAAAAAGTACATGATAGTAGAAAATTTTTTTAGTAGGTTAATATCTAAAAAACTGATATAAGATTTTGATTTTCCTTAATATGATAATTCTAAAAGCTAAATTTTTCAAAATCATATTAGTAGATTAGTAAAAAATTGAAATACAAAATCATTATGTACTATATACAATATAAAAATATATTTAAAAAATATGCTAAAAATCAGCTGATTATAGCTAATTAGGCTGATCCTCTCATTCTCCATTTAATCAAATTCTGATTAGTTAAAAAAATATATATTTATATATATATTAATATATAGAAGGAAGTCAATAGAAAAAGGAAAATCCGAATTTTGATAGTATTAGACCATTTGGCTGATTCGGTCATATGCACAAAATTAGCTTAATAATTAAAATTACAGCTAATTTCATAATTCATGGACTATTAATAATTTTTCAGTCGCATTCAGTCATAATATTTTCTAGTAATTTTATTATAAAATATTTTAAGTCGCATTCAGCTGCAATTTATTATTGGTCCACGAATTATAAAATTAGCTGTAATAAAAATTTTGGATTTCTTCCTTTTTACTGATTGCCTTTTATATGTAAATAATAAAATTATATATATTCCTAAGCATATTTTTATATATAAGAAAAATACCTTTCTCTTTTCTTCTTAATTTCTTGAAAACAAAATTTTTAGAAAATAAATTATTTTGTTTTAAAAATTATTAATATTTTAAACTCTGTTATATAGTTTATTATAAAGATGGTACTGTAATTAAGAAGTTGCAACTTGGTAAGTTGCAACTTGGGTTGCAACTGGTTGCAACTCCTTGCAAAATTTATTTTAATATAAAAATTTATAAATAGTTGCAACTAGCTAAAAATTTTAAAATTAATTACAGCTCTATCTTTAGTTTATTATCTATATACTTTAAATACACTTTTATTTCAAAATAACTTTTATTAAAACTTTATTTCTTACAAAAATAGGTGAAAAAAATCAAGGAAAAACTGCTGATTCCAAAAATAATTACCATTTTGACCTTAAAGTGTAATAACCTGAACCAATTGCTTCACTTCAAGTAATACCTTAAATAATAACTTATTTTTTGATAAAAATATTATTACAAATTGAAAAAAAATACTTTTTTACTTAATATTTTGAATAAAGACAAATATCTTCTATTAGAAAAAAATAATAAAATAAATACTAACAATCTTAATTTTATCATTATTATTCATATTACTTCTTTCAATTATTAAATAACTATTTGAAAACCTCTTACTGCAGCTATTATTAAAACTATCAATAGCTTTTTCATTCAAAATATCATAATCAAGAAGGCTAATATTTAATATGTAAATTTTATCAGATTTATGATAATCTATTTTAATAATAAGCAAATAATAAATGTAGCAATTACTATGACTTTTCTGATTTAAGAATTGATCAATTCATTGATTATTAATTCTACAAAGAAAATATGCATTTCTAACAATATATCTTGAATATTATTGATATTCATCTAAATATAAAAAAAAGAATTCTTATATTAAACTTCAAATATTGTATTATCACTAATGTTAAACTACAGACTTATGGTCTTTAGCAATACATTTACTATATTTATAATGATCCTAAAACATTCAATTATTTTATATACAGTAATCATATTACTTATACAATGACTGCATAAGAATTTCTGCAAATCTCTCACCTTAATAAATCAAGAATAAAAATGATATTTACATTAAGTTGACTAATTTATATTATAGTATTTTAGCATGTGATTTATAAAATATTATTCTTATTACTAAGGCAAAATCATATTGATATTACAACTCCTAATCTTATAATT